GTATGGTGCTCACATGTGTCTTCCAAAAATCTCCACCTATGAAGTAAGTCAAGCTTTCTCTTTGGTTGTTCCAACTCGGTGCAAGGCTGACTTGAGTGTGACCATAAAGAATACCCGCTCGGCCCGGTGGCTAGGATCAAAGTGTAGTATCTGCGCTTTGAGCTGCCGAGCCGGTGTCTGTCGAACTCTCTGCTTGCAGAGAGGAACCCGACAAAGCTCCGCCCGAAGGGTAGGGTTTCGCTCGGGAGGTTGATTTGAACTAGCCCGCTTGGACGGGTTTAGATGGGTTTTATTTTTGGCTGGGCCTACAGGCTCGGACATACCCACATTAAAAAGGCCTTGTGCCACATTCAATTCCTGTGGGTGAATTGATAAATACCATTTTAATGTAGGCTATGAATAGATTCTGGCAAGCATACAGCTGGGGATTCAGATTCTACAAGCCACATAGAAATTCCCTCAAGAATATTTTGAAATTTGACAGGTGAATTTTGAGACCATAGAAAAGGATATTCCAAGGCTATCGTTAGTTACTTCAACCCATTGGCTTATGATTCTGTCAACAAAATGGCCTTATTTCAGAAATGACCTTCAAAAAAAAAATTTTGCTGAAAAATTCACTCATTAAAAAAGTTGCTTCAAAGGTCCTTCTGGGTTTAGGGGGTCTGAAGCCTAAGCTTCATTAGTTTCATAGTAGATCCACCACTGATCAACATCACTGAATATGTTTTTAACAAAACAATACAGAATGAAAGCATAATTCAAGACTGGCTGAAATTTTATAAAATGTTTATTCCATCAGAATAAAATAACTAATGTTTGACTAGGGAAAGGAATCCCTTTTGTTAACCAGAGAATCCACATTCATTTGAGATAAGAAAAGTATTATTTACATTGACTGGCAACTGGACATGCTCTGTGAGGATTCTTTATGTCAGTATCCATTTATATCAGTGCCAGTCAGCTACTGTTGCTGCAGCCAATGGTCTGTGTCAGGGGACGTAACTCACTACAACATCTACAAAGTAGAAACACTGGACTAATTTTGATTTTAAGAAAGGAAATTGTACATTGCCTGAATAAAAAGTGACAGTTATAATTTCTTAACTCATTAATGCACACTGTAAAATCTGGTATTAATTATAAAAATTAAAATTTAGTATTAATTATAGGCTTATAAAAAATAAAATTTAAAAAAATCCAGTATTAATCATAGTTTTTAAAAAAAATATAATCCATAAATGTCCACCATCCCAAAAATGGTACAGTGGACATTAGTGGGTTAAAGATTGTCTGCACCATGTATCAAATGGCAAATTCGTTTTATTAAAAAGAAAAATATCGAGTACTGATAATCATGTTAAAAACAATTATAAAAAAAATTGTTTCTAGACAAAGGTAAGAAGTAGGTTAGTCTGGTTTGATTGTGGTTTATTTTGTTTTAAGGCATATCAACCCCAATGAGTTATTTAATGCTAACAAGATGTTTATGATAGGTTTGTTTGACTAAATTATGTATTCTTTGTAAGAAATCAGTTTGAAGACCATGTTTCATTGACATATTTTTGTAAAGAGGTTTTTTGTCGAGAGTCAAATGTATCACTAGATTAATTTTTTTCAAAAATGTATTGCTGGTATTTTTGCTATAAAAATCTATTTGGTATCTGTCTATATTTCTGAGATGAGGTATTGTGCACACTATTTACATTATTCTGACTATTGTCCTCATCTTTGTTGCCATATTTATCACAATGTTTTGGCCGTTGTACACTCCAGCCTCATTCAGGTGGTTGGAATGTCAAACTGAACCCTTTATTTCGTTCGCTGGAGTAGACTGTTCTAGTTCCAGGTGTCATGTCTAATGGATGTCAGTTGTCAGTTATCTCCTGTTAATTCACCTTTCCAAGTTCTCCACTGTCTTAACCAGGTATTGAACTCACAACTATTTGGGTCCTGTCACTGGATCTAACCAACAACTTTATCCACTTCAATACCTGGTTAAGGCAGTGGAGAACTTGGAGAGGTGAATTAACAGAAGATAACTGATAACTGACATCCATTAGACATGGAACTAGAATAGTCTACCCCAGCAAGTGAAATAAAGGGTTCAGTTCAATATTCCAACCACCTGAAGAAGGTTGGAGCATACAACAGCTGAAACGATGTGATAAATATGGCAACAGAGATGAGGATTTATTTTTATACTTTCATAGTGTTTTGACCCAAGTTTGAGGGTTCCTTATTTTCCTATAGCTGGGACCCTAACAGGTGCTACCACCCTGGACCAGAGTGAACCTGAGAACAACAGTAAGAGGTTCTTCCACACTTCTCAAAACCTCTTGATCAGAAGCCTTGTTGCCAGATGTAGTTTATCATCATACCCAGGATGCAGGTTAGTCTGGCATGAGGTGACAAGGGAGAGATGCCCAATGAAGATTGAACTCAGCACAGGAGTAATGGTCTACTAAGCTATCTTGTTTAAAAATTGCACCATAACAAGGTACCACTTACAACAGTTGTAACTCTATTTTGACTAAAATGAGTAGTCAACTGATAACAGGCACAAGTTGGTTTGATTGTTTTTTTCATTGTTTCATTCATTTTTTTACAGCTTATCAACCCTTTCAGGTTATTTAAAACTATTATAGCAGGTTATTTAAAATTCTTAGAAGATTTCTAGCTACAACAAATATCTGAAGTAAGCCAGAGATCATAATGGCTAAACATTGTGATGATGATATTCAAGATGAGGACACAATTCTAAGCAGATTTGTGTTTAGTAATTCCTCAGCTGAAAATTTAGACAAGTTTATTAGTTGAGATTGTACTTACTACAAATTGGTTTTGTGAATTTTTTTGCACTCATTATGATAGATTTTCTCATATTTCTTTGGTATCAATTTTAAAAGAATTAATACTGCAGTAAGTTTGAAAGAAAAATTATTTGTTATAAGAGGAAAAGAATTTTTAAAGAAATGACAACTATAAAAAAATGACAATAGATTATTTTCACACTGTTATTTGATTACTCTTCTGCAATTTTTTTTACCTTATTTTTTGTTAAATGATTTTTAATCTTTTAATAAAGACAACTGAGAAACCAGAAAACTTATTCCAGTATGGACCAGAACCAGGGGATCCAAACTTTAGGGAGCAGCTTGCTACATTCTTAACTCAGACTTATAAAACCAAAGTTCTCAGGTAAAATCACTTATATTAATTGGTTTTGTGTGTGTGCATGTGCTAGCATTAATATTTGATGGTAACATCTATGATTTCCTTCAGAGGTGTAACTAAGTCTGCTTTTCCCAGTTTAATCACAATGATAACTGTAACAGTACACACCACCTTGTCTCTGTCCGCATTGAGATTTGAAAATAGACCAGCTGATAAATGCTTTGGTTGGAACATCCATGTAGTGCAGAGGTGTTTTATATAAATGCAAATAAGGAAAAAAACATTACTGAAATAATAACAAAGTTTATTAATGCTATACTCTGCTTCAAATTAGGTTTATTTCTGATTCACTCTACATCAAAAGCTGTCAGCCAAATATGAACACTAAGAAAGCAAAACTAAAAATGAAAAAAGTCACCTTCTGCACAGGGGCACTGAGCTTCACATCTCACTCACAAAACAAATCTCTAAAAAAATAAAAAAAATACACTTAAAAATGAGCCAATCACAAAAATTGCCACTAAAGATAAAATATACAAAGTCATGATCCACCTCATCAGCTTACAACACTGAGCAACACATACAGCAACTCCAGGCCATACCAACTCTCCCTATCCTCCCAGTCACTTCCCTCACCCACAAAGAGACATTCCACCTTGATCTTCTATATCTGGAATGCAAAGAATTTCTCTCATGCTACCGTACACATGTTTATAACATTAATGAGATGATTACTGGAACAACTAAACTCTACCTGTTGAATTTAAAAGCCACAATATCTCATGGGATTTCAATTAACATATAGTTTATGAACATATAGTGGCAAGAAGGGCAGAACTGGTTGAATACTAATACAATAGAAAAAGAAAGCACATTGCCATCACTTTCAGTCTTGGAGCTGCCATTAATATCTTCCCCACAACTAGTTGCAAGCTTGAATCTTTTATCATGTATTTATACTATTTCTTAGGGTTGACTTCTGCCCAACCATTGTTTTAGATGTATGGGACAATTGAGGGATACACTTATGCATTGACAAAGTTCTGGTCCTTGTACCCAACATGGTAGTATGAAACACTTATCACTTTTATATATCTTCATGAGTTTAATTAATTTTTATTATGTAAGCATAACATTCATTTGATGTATACAATAACACTGGGCCAATTTCTTCTTAGTATAGTCCAACTTCACTTGGTCATTTGCCATTTGGGAAAATAGCTGTGTTGATTGTAATGCATAAACATGGATCTTATTTCTTTTGGCTCTAGTAAAACTATATTCTTGGCCTCTGAACATTTACTGAACATCTCGGCCTCTCCAATATATCCAAGGAACACAACTCATGAACACTAAAGAGTTCCGATTACAATTGATATTTTTCTTTCAGTTTTAGTAAAACTATATTCTTAGTCTCTGAACATTTGTGTTATTACATAACACAGATTTCTTGAATAGTGCTTTTTATATTGTTCTCAAAATTGAATGTTATCACTGCTCGGTCATGTTTTGTGACAAAATTTGTAACAAAAGGTAAAATTTAAATGAATAGAAATGAAAGAGAAAGTAACCACTTTCAGGTTGTCAGTAGAATGGAAAGAAAAATCTCTCAACTTTTGAAAATTTTGGTGTCTATCATTTCATAAGACCCTTTTTTATTGCTTATTGTAACTCTTGGTAAACTTAAGTTATATGACTTGAGCCTTCTCTCCTTAGTTTCTCAATCCCTAATACCATTAATCTGTAATATTAGTGTAATGGCATTGCACTAACTAATGTTAAATGTTTGTAGTGGCATTGACTATTTTCTTGCATTGGAGGCTTACAGCCATATCAAATTGAAACACCAGTTCCCGTACAATCACCAAAGTTGAACAACATCGAACCTGATCAGTACCTTGATGCATGACTGCTTGGGAATTCCAGGTGCTGTAAACTTGGATGTGTGGGTGGATAATGACTTGGAATTATTAATCAGAGAACCAAGTTTCAATTCCAGTCAGGTTCATTATATTCACTTACATGCAAATACCACTGGGAAAGGTATAAATCCATCACTCCTCCCTCCCATCTATGTGTTAATTAATAATACTTGTATCACTGAATAATTATTATCTCAAAAAAATATTTTCTGGCTTTAAATAACCTGCAATGGGTTGATAAGCTGTAGAAAATGAATTAATCAATCTTGCATTAGAAGGAGATATATATTTATATAGTAGATAGGTTGTAGTGGAAATATTATGCAGTCATATGAGGAAATTTTTAATACAAGTTATGTAGTGATAATATCATTCTGTGTGTAAAAAATGGTTTGCTGAGATCTAAGAAAACTCAGGCAGGCAAATGAGTCACATCTTGTTCTTTAAGCATCCTATATATGAGTGAGAGGGGGGTGTCCTTTGCTTGTATAGTGCTTTATACAACACCACCTAGCAGATATTTGAAGTTTCCTGGCAAACAATGTGCGGTAATTATACATTGGGATACTCTCTTTGGTTTTTCGTTTCTCTTAAAGAAAAACAGAAATGTTATTCAATATTTCACTTTGAATAAATATAATACTTTTTAAGAAATGATTGAAAAATAAGAAAAGAAAAAAAATGAAGGAAATCAAAGTTGAAAGAAAGAACAACAAACTAAAGAAAAGATTATTTTAGATTAAAGAATAAAAATGATTCTAAGAAATATTATTGGAAGTAATTTGAACAAACAAAAAAAGAAGTGATTGTATTTGATGTAATCTACTTTACAATATAGTAAAAAAACAAACTTAAATATCTAAAACAGAATTCACAATTTCCTGCTTCATTTATTCATTTTTTTGTTTAAATTTTTCTTTACAGTACAAATTTGATGGTCACAACAGGTGCTACAAATGGCTTCCATTTCATTTCTACTCTCATGTTTGATAACAATTCCCCAGTATTTGTGGAAGATCCAACCCACAGTCGAATTCTGGAGATTTTAGAGAAAGATTTGGGCCGAACTATCATTTCAGGTAAATATTCATGGGTGATACAATTAGGCAATTGTATAATAAAATTTTTAATGCTTAAGAAAAAGTACAGGTGTTATTGTATTTTCTATATCAAGATTCTAAATAACAAACCAAGATAAATTTTCTCTAAATTACATAAGGTATTCTTTTTTAAAAAATATATCTTTTCGCAGAGATCCAATTAGTGTTTAATAAACTATAAAGCATTTTAAGCACAAGGTCAAAGATTTTTTATTTTTTTCAGTGTCCATACCTACACACAAAACTATATATATATATATATATATATATATATCAAATATGTGGTGCAGCTAAATTTATATTACAATCAATCATTGATACAAAAATAAAGTAGCAAAGTTAATGAGATAAAATGGTGAATTAACTTCGCTAACTAAATTTTAAAAATACATTAACCCACTAACCACTCAATATAGAATTAATATAAGTAAAAGTTTGTCACTTAGCTGATTGAGGTTAACTTCAGCATCCCAATTCCAGAGTTTCATAGGCAGACCTGTCCGTCCACTCTTCAGTGGATATCAGCAAGTTACTGCTTATATTTTTCTTTTTTATGCACTTATCATTGGTGTAGGTATTTTCTGTATTGTTTGTATTTGTCTGTGCATTTGCGCATGTGCGGCTATGCACCCATCTGTGCAGATGTGCATATATTTAGGGTGTCATGATCATTTGTCCATTTCTTCAGAATTTTTGTTTTTTGGGGGTTTTTCTCCCCACTTTACACCTGGTCCTTAGCTTTTTCTCTCTTTTCTTTTTCCTCTTTTCTTCCAACTGTAACCATTTGTGGCCATTTATATTAAATTATATTAAATATAAATTATATTATATTATATAATATTATATTATATTAAATGCTCTGTTTATAATAAACAGAGCATTTACTTAAATACTTGTATCTATAAAAAGAATGCTAAACTTAAAAATGTCTTAAAATAATTGTTGGACTTTGTCCATTTCATAATATATATATATATATATATATATATATATATATATATATATATATATACATGCAAGCAATTTTTATATATATTATTTATATTATATATGTGTGGTACTTACTGGAAAGCACTCAATATCAGACATAGAGCTAACATATTTCGTTGGATTGGTGTGAGTTTGTGACCCTGGGTTTCATGCTATTTGTGATCATCAGACAAACTGATTAATTTTTAAATTTGGGATTTATATAGGTTGAGTATATCGGTGTTTTATGGTAGTGGGAGTAAAAATTGTTGTCGGAATGCCACTTATATGTACGCAGACATACATACATGCATGTTCATGCATTGCAGCTCACACAAACATAAACATATATGAACAGTGTGGGACTGGGTGTATATGCTCACCCATGTGCCGTTGTGTGCATACGTATACATTTGGTTGCTGTATTCAATGTTGGATTGTGTGGCGAACTTCTTTCACAAGTCACAGTGTCAATGCACAGACTGTTCGTCTATTTTGTTCACGGAATAATGTTTTCTTGCACACACACACACATATATATACATATGCACGCATGTTCACACACCTTCTATCCATCTGGGTTTTTTTTATCTTAAGATGTAGTCCATGTAAAACTATGGTAGGTAAAATTGTTATTATTTTTAATTTTTTAATGCTATATTGTTATTATTTTAAAGCCGGTCATTTGCTTGTTTTTGGCAATTGAGCTTATGTAAATGGTAGAAACTCCAATTGATAATACTTATTGTTATTTATGTGATGGTATTAATTTTGCTAGTGGTGGGAGTATAATTGTGTACTGATGCAGATGCGTCCCACAAAAGTCAGTCTCAAAGCCCACTCATGGCTTAGCAGGTTAGGCAAACCCAAACCTCCATGACATGGGCATTGAATGTAGACGTCTTTGGTCGTCCTTTCACACAGAGCAATTTAGGGAGGTGCTTCTGGAATGTGATCAGCTTCTTTGCTGTGATAGGAAGGACTGAGTGTCTGTAGAGGATCAGGGTGGGTAGATGTATGTGACACACATCCCAGCTCTGCCCTACAGGGACAAGTGTCTGCAGGGCCATGCATTCCCCATCTTGTTGACCTTGGTCTGCACTTCTGCCCAGTTTTTCTCGAACTGGAGAACAGACCCAAACCACACCCCTAAGATGTGAACAGGTCCATCTGTCCACTCAAATGTTCCCTGCAAAGCCCTCCCTTTCCACACTCCCAGCCTCAATCTGATGGATTTGGATCTATTGATCCTTGCCCCTACCACTCACTCATAGCGCTGAATTTCTGCTCTTACCTGGCGTATGTCCCGACTGCTGTACATGCAGACAGTGACATCATCAGTGTATGCAGACTCCCTGGCTGTTACCCCACCTGATAGCTTAATTCCCCAGATTGGGGAGTGCTCAGGACTCCCTTTTAGTTTCCAGTATGAGGCCATAGAGTAAAGGTGATAGAGGGCAACCTTGCCTAATGAACTTCGTGATATTGAATGGCTTTGACCTTTTGCTATTCATCTGAACTATGGCACTGGGAGCTTGGTATAAGTGTTCAATGCATATGGGAAAGCCTTTGCCAAACACAGCGGCCTTTAGTATGGCCTTTAGGGAATGGTAGTCTACTCTATCAAAGGCCTTTGACTGATCTAGGTTGACTAGTGCAGCACCCGTGCCATCATCTATCTCATCCAGTATATTGCATACCAGGTACAGGTTGTCCTGGATTGTTCTTCCCTTCACAGCACATGTCTGTTCAGGACCGATCAGCTTGTCTGCAACTCTCTGTAGATGGTTTGTCAGGATCCTGGCTAGGATCTTCAGGTCAGTGTTAAGGAGTGTTATAGGCCAGAAGTTCTCCACCTTATTCCCATCATGATTGTTCTTCCTCAGCAAAGTGATCACAACCCTGTTTATCTTTTGGGGGACGTTTCCCTGATTGAACCAGTTGTTGAAAACTATTGCCAAAAGATGAACAAACATGTGTGGCATTTTGAGGTAAAATTCGTAGGGGAGGCCATCGAGTCCTGGAGCTTTGTTGGTAACAACTGTCCTCGGGGCAGTGACGATTTCCTTTTCTGTTATCAGACCTTCACATCTATCTGCCTCATGTGGTTCTAATCTGGGGAGATCAGCCAAATACTCTTGGAAAGATGTCACCTGCAGATTGGCCTCCAGACCGAGAAGCTAGTCCTTTAGTCAAAAAGGCGGCAAAATTTATTTCAATAACATTTGTTTATTTACTCCCTGGCTACTGAGTGTAGAAAATACTAAATATAAAAATACCCCGAATGCTGTTTGTATGTTTGTTAACACTCGATATACTTAACGATATGTTTCTAACTCAAAATATATCAGGATAGATAGCTGTTTAATTGCTAATTAACCGCTGATTCAACAGTAAAAGGAGAGTAAAATTGTTGCGAAGGTCAAGGTCGCCCTATTTGTTTTGTTTAGAAGTGGCCAGCGGTGGCTGCGACAAGCTGATTACCACAAAAAATTACAAAACATTATCGATGACTGAACTAAATTCATCAAACTGAACAGAACGCCCACGGAAACCCTAAAAAGGTCCGTCAACAAACTAATAACATCTAATAACGCTGAAGTCGGTTCCCTGAAACTCCAAAAAATCATTGGAGACTACCAAGCTGGATATTTATACGGAAATATAAAAACCCATAAACCCGAATACCCGCTATGACCAATCATTTGCCAGATCCCAACACCTATCTATGAGCTATCAAAATTCTTGACTGACATTATCACTCCATACCTACCACTAATTACAGCATCACATCCACCCATGAATTCCTCCAAATTTTAAAAAGCTACTAACCAAGGTATCATAGCGTCACTTGACGTCAAAAATTTATTTACAATCGTCCCCGTCGATCAAATCATTGACATTTATCCTAAATTCTGTGTATACTAATAATTCTATCCCTCCG